AAAAAACACCTCAGTTGCTTGAAAATAATTATAAAAATATTGGCTTTGGGTCTTTAGTCCTTTCCTGTCATTAGAGCTTTCATTAAAATGTAATCAAATTAACTAATTAAGTAAACAAAAAAACTCACTGCCATCAAGTCAGTACTGACTCATAACAACCCTGTACGACAGGGTAGAACTGGCCCCGGTGAGTTTCTGAGACTGTAATTGTTTATATAAATAGAAAGCCCCTTCTTTTTCCCTTGGGGCTACTGCTGGTTTCAAACTGTCAATCTTGTGGATCATAGTCGAACACGTCACAACTACACCACCAGGGCTCCTAAATTGTAACAGGAGGCTATAAATAAATATAAATAGCTATATTGAAGAGGTGATCTTATGAGAAAGGAGTTATGGATAGTTGAGAACTATTAAATCTTATCATACTAGTAATGTTTTGCTTCATCTTTCTTTAAAATAAATTTTAAAAGCATCATTTTCCCATGGATTGGCTCCCAGAATTATAGTTTTTTTTGAACCAGGAGAATTGGAAAAATAGAATTAAATACAGGTTCACTAGGCAAAACTGTCTAGATTTTAATTTACTTTCTTTTGTTTTTATTATTTTTTTAATTTAAATCATTTTATTGGGGGCTCATACAATTCTTATCACAATCCATCTATACATCCATTGCATCCAGCACATTTGTACATTTGTTGCCCTTATTCTCAAAACATTTGCTTTCCATTTGGGCTCTTAGAACCAGCTCCTCATTTTTTCCTCTCCCTCCCTGCTCCCCCCTCCCTCATGAACCCTTGATAATTTATAAATTATTATTTTATCATATCTTACACTGCCTGATGTCTCCCTTCACTTACTTTACTGTTGTCTGTCCCCCAGGGAGCAGGTTATATGTAGATCCTTGTAATCGGTTCCCCCTTTCTACCCCTCCTTCCCTCCCTCCAGGTATCGCCACTCTTACCACTGTTCCTGAAGGGTTCATCTGTCCTGGATTCCCTG